TTACAGTACAAGTTCTCATATGTCCTGAGTCTTAATTGACCTTGGAAGGCTAGGGCCAAAATGTTGGCTTTCCTTGCAGCCCTCCTTGTTCTCCCTTTTTGGTCTGCAAACTTAGGTTGTTAACTATTCAGAAGACAAGCTTATTGTTGTTACCATACAACTTAGGCTGTTATGCTTAACCTCACTATCTGTTTGCATCTCAAACATCTTAGGCATAATCTGGACCTGCTCCCATTCTTGACACTGATTTGCCTCCTCAGTTTGTCATCTTACCATCTGCCCATTTAGAGCAGCAACTTTATCCTTCTATAATGATCTGACATTCTCACTGGACTATAACTACTTAATAACACACTCATTAAATAGGAACACTTAAAATTCCAGTGTCTTAATGAAATAGATTGAAACTCTGAGACCATATTAGATAAACATTTTCCATTAGTACAGTCATGAAACATATACTTTAAAAAGACACTTGAACAAGAAAGCTGTTTATGACTTTTCTTTTGTAATTTGTTTTCTCCCTTTTAGCTACTTAGATTAGATTTGAAGCCACATTCTTACACTTACATTTCATCTTGCCAGTTGTTAGTGAATCCTTTTTTGTTTCTGATCTTTCTGGTCTATTTTTAATTTGGCTCAGTGCCACCACTACCAGCTAAAACAAGACCAGTAAATCTACATATCTCTATACGGTTATTGTAAATGGCATTATCCAATTCTCCAGATTCATAATCTGAGAGTCATTTTATAATATTTTCTTCTCTGCCTTCTTCCTTAATAAAATGTACTATTAGAGACTTTCTCTGTATGTGTAATAGTGGGATTAAACCATTCTCTATTCAGCAGATGCTCACAGCCTAACACCTGTTGCCATAGTATTCTCATGGTTGTCTTCTTGTGTTCCAGTTTCTTCTCAGCTAGTCTACACTCTATTACCAGAAGAAGCTCCCATAAATACCATTCCAATCATAAGAGCCACTATATAAAATTAACAAAAGGATCAAATGTTAAGTTTTAAGCTTGTTTTGAAGTCTACATAGCAGATATTTACTACTCCTATTTGCTAGAACAACCCGCCCTACTCTCCCTGTCTTCCCTTTCACTCTCTCCCAGTTGGAAATTTGCAGCCCTATTTCTCATTTTCACATTTTAAGTTTCCAATCAAGTCACAATTTGCTTTTTGCCTCCAATATGATATTTTTCACAAATCCCAGTCCTTTAAATTCATATACTCTCTGCCCACATAACTGTCCATTTATACCCTATAACATATATTTCTAAAGATATGACTGAGAGCTTTTAGAATGTTTTTTCATAATTATATCTGATTCCTTACTCTTCCCATTCATTGTACTGTGACAATATATAGTTTGTTTCTATTTTCAGTTTTTGATCCACATGTGTCTTTAAACCTATTTCCTATATTGATATCCTGTTACTTCTAATAATGGTATAAGCATGCTGAGTGCAAGGGCCTAGACTAATTTCTTTACTCTTTCTACAAGCAGAGTATTAGACTACCTACTTAGGTGTGTAAAGCATGTTATTTACTTTTGGTTATTATTTTCTAGTTTTAACCAATGACAAAAAGTCATATTCACTTTTTCAGTGGTCATTGAAGGGTGTCCACATAGGACTTGAGGCAGGTGTTGCCTACCATCTTAGTCAGACATGCAATAACCAGGAAGAGGAGGTTATAGTACTGGCTACACATTTCATTATGCATTTTTACTGCAGTTTAGTTCAGTACATATTGAGCACCTCAAGTTTACTTAGCAGTATGTTAAGTATTCCAGCCCAATTACTCTCAAATTCCTGCCTATAGCAGAACCCCTAGAGGGTGTGTCAAAACCCGGATCATTGACTCCACTCCAGTTTCCAACTTAGTAGATCTTAGATGGGGTCCAAAGTTGTGCATATCTAAAAAATTCCCAAAGAATATTGGTACTCCTGGTCTAGAGACCATACTTTACATCATGATCCAAGAGATGTACAATAGTCTAAACTGGCGTGGTATCTCATTCCAAAGGATATAAAGTGTATCTACAGAGACAGTGACATTTACCAGCAGAAAATATGTATTTTAGAATTCATTCAGTCAAGAAATACTAAATGGGTACTATGTACCCATTATTATAAGATTATACCAGTGAACACAATAGGCTAAAATTCTTGTTCACATGGAGAAATTTTAATGGGGAAAAGCAGAAATAAATAAAATACATAAAATAGAAGATAGTGATAAGTGCTATGGAGAAAAAGCAAAAAGAAAGAATATGAAAGCTTGAAATTTTAGATAGAGTGCTCAAGGAAGAGTTTCCAGTTCCATCATTTGACAAGTACTAGTTGAATCATTATTATGTATCAGAAATAGCTAGAGAGGATGGTGTCATATCAATGAATACCACAAAGAATAAACCCTGCCCTCATATAAGTTGGCAGCCAGGAAGCCCAAAATTTTGGAGTTGATCATCATAAATTCATTTCTTCACTGTAAATATGTACTTCCCTACTTTGAGCCTTGGTTTTTCCATCTGCTAAATTGAGTAGTCAAACTTATACCTAAAGTCTTCTCTAATTCTTAATACTACCAAATATGAAGTGCTTCTGCCAGCCAGCAATATATCAGTGGGTTTGAAATATGCTCTGCAAGTAAAAATCTGAAAAGATTTTCATAGGGAAATTATGAAGTATGTGAGATGGGGAGATAATTTATAAGAAAAACATAGAGCCAGGGACACAGCTTTAGACTGTGCTACTTGGAAGGCTGACTCTGAATAATCATTTGAGCCCAGGATTTCTAGACCATCCTGGGCAACAAAGTAAGGCCCCATCTCAAAAATAAATCAATAAGAAAAACTAAAGCACAGCAACAAGAATGAATATCACATGTTCAAATAGCAACCCAAGAGATCAAAGTGTTATCATTGTATTATAGTGGAGAAAAATGGATAGAAGGAAATTAGGTGTCCAGAAAAGATGATGTGGGGGGCTGATTCTACCAAACGTTCAATGGGAACACACTAAAGTTTTTGATCAAGTAATGATGTGATTATGCAGTCAAAGTGATGTTTTAAGTATAACCTAGCAATCACAATTAAACTTCAAGACTCATAATTTCTTCCATAATATTTCCTTTGAATCACTAAAGGTTAAAGTCATACTTTGTTATAAGTGACTGCTCAATTCTAGTATTACTGTCAAACTAATTTTCAGATCTTTCCCAAGCAACTAAAAGCCAATGGTATTACATAAATTTCCCCAACAGTACCACTACATTCTTGAACCATTAACATGTTAGAATTTAGTTTTTGGTCTTTGAAACTCTAACAGAAAATTCTTTATAAGTTTTCTGTGTTTGTTGTTATCCCATGAAATATCTTGTTGAATATTGTGTTTATCTTCAACCACATAATTTAAATGGCATTCATTTAGAGTGCTGTAAATATCTCTATGACCAAGCTTTTCACATTTGTTTACTTGGTCATGAGTAGCACAAATTTCATGGAAATTATTCTATTGTTCTTCATTTTAGTTAGTTGAGGAATATCTGAGTCTGTTGTATATCTCTTGTTTCCAAAGCTAACAGGATGATCCTCCTCATGAAAGAAGTTATTCTGAAAGACAGAAATGACAAAGGTTTGTTGTCCAAAGAGGAGTTCTATAGCCATAGAGAAAGGCGTGTCAGACAGAAACAAAGGAGAGCAACTTGGATATTTGTTATGTTAATACTATAATCACAGCAAGCTTCAGCTGACCTTTCAATCAACTCATAACTTCTCAGACACATAATGGGGACTTAACAATCCATGACAGACCAAATTCTTAAAACTCATGTTTAAGATTAGTTTAAACCCAAGTTACATATGACCAGCAAAATATTTAAATGCCACCAGAATAAAATAAGCAAACATGATGAATATAGCTATACTAAGATGGAAAATTACTATTTTCTCTTTTATTTTCCAATTTCTGGATAGTATTGATGGGTGATATAATTAGAAAGTAGTAACTCTATGCAGAGTCCTTTTCAACCATGAGGCACATCCACAGATATCTTTCAACATTGTTTTTAAAGAACAGCTCTAAGAGCTAAAACATCTGAGCATTTTGGAATTATAGTACTAAAAATGTGGCTGGATCACGAGGGTGACAGTTTTCTCTTCCATATATGTATGATTTTTTTTCTTTGTTCCTTTTTAATAAACAGGGGATGGAGAATTGTCATGGGAACATTCTGATGGTGACATCTTCCGGCAACCTGCCAACAGAGAAGCAGTAAGTGTCCATAGCTCATATACTGTAATTCAGCACTTCACAACATCAGGCATAGAGTTCTACTACCCATGACTGCTAGCCCAGAAAATAAAAAAGGGCCCATTTCTCATAGTATTCTTTCCTCTTCTTTGAAAATTTGAGTGGCACCATTACCAGCCTACAAGTACTTAAGAGTACTTTATAATTGATAACTAGGACCAGACCATGAACATAGAGCAATCACAACTGTTTATCTAGATCAGAATCTGTATTCTTATGGGTTAACTTGCCAAATTATACATCTCCTCATATGGAGGAATGTCACTGCATCTCTCCTCAGTAGTAAAAATCTTCTGTATGAGGATCTTCTGCTAGGTTTTTAAACTAGTCTACTCTATCCTTTTGAGAGATTAAGTGGGTTTTGGGACATAAATCTTCACAAAAGCTTTAAGGTTTTCGATCATACAATTAAACGAAAAGAAATTTAGCAGGGCAGACAGTCTTCCCTTCATCCCATGATGTCTCATTTATGTTATAAGTGCTAGTATCAGAACAAGCTTCACAAGTTGGTGTCTCTGTATATACACTAAAGTATCTTTTGTTCCTTAATACTTTGAAGCAAACAGCAAAATAAAATCCCTCTCATAAAATGTATGTCTAAGAAGAGTGAGACTTCAAGCATCTAAAATTCTAACAGTGTTTCAATTGAAAGAATGAATCAGATTAAGGACTTTATAAAAGTGTACAAAATGTACAAAGGTATTCATTAAACATGAATTGGTGTTCACTGCACTCCTGTACAAAAAAAAAAAAAAAAACATAGTGGGAAATTCATTACAGCCTTGGTTTCATAAGAATAAAAAATAAAGGAGACAAGCTAATTAACTATTAAATGATGTTTGGTTAAACATGTCCAACCTATGGGACATTCTGTGTTTGTTATAATCGATATAGTATATGTAGATGCAGCAAAGTGGAAAGAATTCTGAGACATACCATATAGTAAAACAAGGTGCTTTCCTCTTGTAAAATTGTGTGTGCATGGATGTAAATGCATGTATTAAGATCTGGAGGGTCACACACAAACATGTTAAGAGTGGCAATATTAGAGGGATAGAACTGGACAGGATGAAAGGTAGATTTTGATCCTTTACTTTGACATCTGCATTATTTGTTGCTTTCCGCAATTACTTTTATAATAAATAAAATATAAATGATTTTCTAAAACCTTGGAAATTTGTTCTTACATAGCATTGCAGATAAGACAGAAAGCTAAAGAGTTATACAGCAACCCTGATAATAGGAAGGATTACAGAAGGGATCAAAGGGTATGCAATTGTGTGCTGACACAAATATGGCTGTGTTGCTTTGCCTGGGCTTCCTGGTCTTTCCAGGAAGCGCTTTCCTTTACTAGTTTCTAGTTAATATAGATTCAAAGGAAACATTTCCTTCATTCAATTCTATCTGCTTTATTGTGAGATTCCTTACAAATCCAAACAGGAAAGGATGTCAGTTTTAGTTTTCTGTGTTGTGTATTTGTTGTTTGTCTCAACTCAAAGATTGTTGTTGTCATTGTTAAGTGAGTTTAGAGTGGCTAAATATGGCTGATAATCAGATGTCATTCCAAAGCAAATTTAAGGGTCAGTCACCATGACCTATTAGGCATCCACAGTATTCACTTGGTCCCCATAGCAATCTTTCTGGTAATGCCTATAATTAGCCTTTCTTTTTAAAATTCATTTCATACTACCACCTGTACCATCTATTTTTTTAGCTTGAAAGTACTTCCTAGGGGCTGGGAAGGTGGCTCAGTGGAATAAGCTCTTTCCTGGCAAGCACAAGGCCTGAGTTCAATACCCAGTTTTGCAAAAAAAAAAAAAAAAGAAAAGAAAAGAAAGAAGTACTTCCTAAATTGCTAGTGGTAGGAAAAAGTTTAATGCAGGAAATTTTGCGGCAAAATAGATAAGATAAAGATTACTGGACATTGAAGTTGATTTTCAAAAAATTCAACAGCTATGTTTAGAGGCAAAATACTTAAGACTGGTAGATGAAAATAGGCAGATGATTTGTCTTTATTAAAGGTAAGTATTTTCCTTTGCTCTGAATGGGATAGATATTGTGGGGTATGTTTCCAAGAATACATAGCATCAGTAGTGATGAAAAAAGTAGGAATACTTAGTAGGCACGCAGTAAATATATGTTGGGTGAATGAGTGTGGAAAGTAGAGTGAAACATATAGGGGTGGGGCATGAGAGGAGAAGGTGTTCACATATTTTAATGCTCTCAACTTTTCTCAAAAGTTCTTCAAATTTATTTTTTGCTTTTGACCATGTTAAAGAAAGAAGATAGTAGATTCTCTTCTGAATATTCATTATATGCCCAATTTCTTGAATGGGAGAAAAAAATAGTACCAACAACAACAGATTTCCTACCCAGTAGACTGTTTCATTTATAGGGAACTGTCAAAACTTCAGTTCTATAGAAATGTGACTGATTGGTTTATTTTACGAAATGGGTGGGAAAATATCAGCTTGACAAGTTTTATGAAGTTGAATAAAAAGGTAAACCAGTATTTTAAGCATATATCCTTAGTAAAAATCTTGAATAGTTTTTGCTTTCCAGGTCATAATTTTGCATGAATTCGCCCTTGTACCATTGAAAGGTGCATGTGCTGTATGAGTGTGTGTGGTATACAGAATGGGAGAATTGTAGGTGTAGAGTAGAAAGCTGAAACATGAGAGCAAGCATAAATTTTTTGGACAACCATCAGACCCTGTTTTAAAGCCAAATAAATTATAGTTGTGCCTTGGATCTAATGTGGCAAAAGATATAAGAATCAGTTTTTCCCACAAGGTCAACATTGACCCTAAATATCAAAGTTAATTTGGTTCTCATCCAATTCAATGTGTCACCAGGATCATGGAAAGAATGAAGTTTATGAACTGATGTACCACTACACATTGAAATTTACTATTAGAAAAGTAAAAGAATTTGGGATTTAAGCAACATGAAATGAATAAAAACCCTTGCCTCATTTACACTGATGGAATGATGGCTTGAGAAGGAAACTGACCTAAGTGTCTTCTGGGCAGGTGCTCTTCTAAGTTAGTACTGACTAAAATAAAATGTTTTCAAGAACATATGGATTAGAATACATTCTTAAGGCACTTTTAAGTAAAGAAAAAATTAAACTACCACAAATAAAAGACTCAGTCAAAGGATGGGCAACCAAAAAGAATAGACACTTCTTAGAAGAAAAAGTACAAATGGCCAATAAATACATGAAAAATGTTCAATATCATTGGCCATGAGAGAAATGCAAGACTACATTGATACCATCCTACTCCAGAAAGAATGACTGTCATCAAAAAATTCAATAATGCACATGCTGAGGATGTAGAAGAAAAGGCACTTGGCTGCACTCCTGGTGGGAATGTAAACTAGTACAACCAGTAAGGAAATAAGTGTAAAAAAAAAAAAAAGGAAAAGGAAAAAAATAAAACTAAAACAAGAGAAGTCAGTGTGGAGTTTTCTCAAAAACCAAACATAAAAATTACTTTTGACCTAGCTATCCCCCTTGCACACATCTTCCCAAAAATTTTAGAGTCATCCTACTACAGGAATGCATTCATATATATATATATATATATATATATATATATATTTACAGCAGTACAACTTTTAGTGGTTGCTGTGGTAAATAGCATAGCCAAAGAGCTTTTAACCAGACATTTATGGAGCACCCTTTCTTCTTTTCCTCCTCTTGAATCACCTTCCACTCTCCTTTGTTCCCCACTACCATTCACCTACCATCTCCAAGAACTCAACCTTCACAGTCATCTGGAATAGTTGACTTTCCTCCCTGTTTTCACTTTCTTTGTCTTCAGATAAAAAAAAAAACTGCAACCAGGTAAGGTTTTGAAGGCTGAGTAGTCTACCATAGGTAGGTCCTCTGATCAAAATTCTTGGGGACTTTATTTTTTGTCCTGAATCATTTTTCTACCATGTCAGTCTTTGGTACTGAAGAAAAGCTTTTCATTTTGTGCCCACCATCATGAATCAGAGAACTTCTTGTACTTGTGACTTATCCTAGGGCAGTGACTATCCCTTTCTAATCCCATCCTTGACAAACTCCTATCTTTTAGCTTCAGTAGGACACCAACCAGCCAAACTGTCTTCACTGTGTTCCTTTGGCAAAACTTTGCTAAACTCCACAAAGGTCAGAACAATCTGTAATGGCCTTTGTGGAATGTGAGTGATTATGACAGAAAAGACATATGAACCATTGTGGGATGAAAAATATTTACACTGTGGAGGCTGTCTGTGCGTGATAACAAAGCGATGCAGGTTCTTATTTGTGTGAATTTTTATAACAATGCAGCAGGATTGGCTCTTCTTAGATATACACAATAGTGTGTTCTTTCAAAATGCTCAGAAAGATCCTCTTACTTTCCAGCTCCTGTTTGCTCTTCCTTCCTCCCACTGGGAGAGCAATATTAATTCCAAAAACTAAATTAGCAACATGTGTGACTATAACTTTAGTAAATCTTTTACAGGATAGTGAGATCAGAGGACCCTGTAACTATCTTCCTAAGGCTGTTTCTATCACTGAATATAAGTATCTTCCTTTCTAATTGCCTACGAAAGATTTCTTAGTGCTTTTCCCCTCCTTGATTCCTAACAATTGCCCCCAAAACACAGCTGATGTTATGTGCCTTTAAGTCATAAAATTTCATTCTTTATTCAGATCATGCTCCTTTATCCACACCTTGCTTCAGTGTGGGGGAGAAGGGAAGGTAGCATAATAGTGAGGCCACTGTGTTCTGAATTCTTGAAAGAAAAAAAAATGACTGAAGACTGTAGTTTCATTCATCCAACCGGTATTTGATGAAAACCTTCTAGATCAGTGACAGTGAACCTTTTAGAGCTTTCAATGATAGCAAACAGCCCTCTGCAGTGTATGTGCCATAAGCTCACCACCATTGTTCTAGAAACTAGACATTGTTCTAGGTATTGGAGTTATATGAGTGAACTCCATAACATCCTTGATTCTATGGTGCTTATATTCTAGTACTATGGTGCACTGTTTATAAAACGTCCATCTATAAAATGCAGTGCTGAATGATGTTATGCTACTGCCTATGTTTACAGTCCTTGTATAATTTATTGAAACTACACTTGACTCACATCTTTTCTTCCTATCTAGTTTATTTAACACATTATCAGGGTTCATTGAAACAGAGGTCTGATTAAGTTACTTTTCTACGTAAAAGGGATTCCCTTAAAGGCTTCCATGCCTCCACTTCTGTCACTTACCATATCCCTTAACTTGTCATTTAAAGTCCTCCATGATCTGACTCCAGCCTCCTTTGGAATGTTATTGTTAAACTATTCCCTTTTATGGACACTATGTTCTCTGCTACACCTTCTGAACTTGAAAACCTCTGCCTAGAATATTTCCCACAAACTGAGAGAGAAAAGAAATAACTGTATCCATTCTTCATGGACCAGGTCACAAACCCTCTCTGACCAGCAACTCTTTCTCTCCTGCTAATGTGCATAGCCCTTTAGACTTCTGTGGCCTCTGTCATCATTTGTGTTCTGTTGCGGACTATTATAACTCTAAACTGGAAAGTGTCTCGAGAGCAGGAAGGGCCTTTAGCCCTTTTGATTGCTTTCTCCCTCAGGAGTTCATCTGTGAATCTAATCTCCTTTCATATGATCATATCCGTGGTTTTTTTGGTGTAGGTGGACAAGCAGTTAAAGTCAGAGTTTACCACTAAAACTCAAACTTATCAAATGTTGTTTAATATATATAATTCAATGTATACAATTATAATGGTAGATTACTTTTAGACAGAATTTGTACTTATCATTTTATAGAGACATTCCTACCACCGTTCTCACTATGATCCTCCACAAAGCCGACAGGCTGGAGGGTTGCCCCGCTTTCCTGGGGCCCGAAGTCATCGAGGAGCTCTTATGGATTCTCAGCAAGCATCAGGGACTATTGTGCAGATTGTCATCAATAACAAACACAAGCATGGACAAGGTAAGTGGCATCTTCCTTTTGCACTGCATCTATATCAGAGTCTTGGAAGCCCTGTTCTTATGAGGTCTGGAGCTGAGCAGGAATGCCTTCTCACATGAATAGCACAATATTCACTCACAAATAAGTACAAAATGGGCATAAACAAGTGATTCCTGAGGACTCTTAGGTCTTTCCTAAATGCAGCCAGTGGAGCATAGTCAAAAACCCTTTGTGCTTTCAGAGCAGTCTCTAGCACTTTCTCAGCTTTCCCTGGGGGTTGGAGATCATTGGGGAAAATTCCTTGGGTCTTTAGCAAGTAAATTATACAACATTCATTTAAAGGGAATCAGTGCCAAACCCTTCCAAAGTTTTCAGCTAAGCCTTAGAATTAGCCTTTCTCACACCTCCATGCATCCCAGATTCTCCTGAGGTTCATTGTTAAGTATTACCGGCTTTGTACTCAGAGATTCTGGTTCAACATGTAGCTATGAGGAGACTGTCCTTAAAAATGACAAATCAAGCAAGAATTACAGAAACCACCTGGTGGAGCACTAGGATGACTAATCAGATTAGCTAAGACCTGCAGCCCACTCAAGCAACTGACTACAGCAAGCATCCATACCGATTCATGGGCCTGCTTTCTCCCACACACAACTTGATGCCCTCCACCAACCCAACCCCAAGAGCAGAGCTGGGAGGAGAAGCTTAGTAAAACCATTAACTGGTCCTTGCTTTTTGTGGGATCTGGTCAACCACCTCTTTGGAGCAAGAGCCGAGTTAGATCCTTTTTATGAAACCACAATTTTTTTTTCTTTTCTTTAAAGGAAACACAAATTAAAGTCAGTTCCCTGAATGGGTTAATGTAGTAAATTATTAGGACAAATGATTTAATAACATGGGGGAAAAATCCACTGTAAAGAACCCCTGGTATCTCAAAGCTAGGCAAGCCAAAGTTAGTTGATCACATCTGTTACTGGTTAGACGTAAATTTCAGATTACAGATTAAAAAGTTAAATTGCTTTTGAACCCTACAGGCTTATAAAAACAATCTAAATAAAATTATTGATAAATGCTAGCATACTAAGAGTTGGAAATATTTTTTATTATTTTTAAGTCTCTAGGTATTCTGATACAAGTTGATGAAATAAGGAGGGCTTAGATAAACATGCTGTTTGATTTATAATCCTAAATGAATGGCAAACCTTTCCAAAAATCTGTAGAAATGACCTTCTAATGTCACATTTACCTACTGTCTATAAGGCCTCTTTTTTTCAAGGTAGAGGTTCATTCCTTGATTGTCTCTGTGTACTACAAAAGCCCCAGCTGGTTTACATTTATTCATCTGCCCCCATCAATTTGGATGCAGCAATTCTTTTCTGACCTTCCTGTTACAGTTCACTAGAGAATCATTTATCTCCACCCCCAGCTCCCAACTCCCCAGCTGGAAGATTCAAAGTCATCTGAGTATTTGTTGCTGGGGAAAAGACAGTATTTCTCTCTAGATAATTGGCCTCACTGTGCTCTGCTGCAGAGTGTATATGCTCACCTAATCTGGACTGTTCCCTTAGCTCAAATGTTTAGGAGACAGGGTGCCTAGCTGTTTTACACTGGGTGTGCTGCCTACTTGGCTCCTCAGCATAGTTCATCCTTTGCCCTAGCTCTTTGCTAATGATGCTCTCTTCTCAAATGTACCTCCTTGATTCTCCATTAGAGTCAAAGAGGAGATGTGAAAATTCTCTACCATTTTGTTTGATCATATCTATCCTGTGCACCTCACAGTTTAACTATCAAGTCTCTATTGGGACGCTGTCTGGTTTGGATACTTGGAAATCTTGAAATGGGCTGACCTGTTACTGTGCCCAATATTCTTGCAGCTTTTGCAAAGGACAATAAAAGGCCAACATCATTCATATTTCTTAATGTGACCCAGTGGACTTGATGAGAAAGAAATAGCCTAGTGATTCATCCTGAGCCTGCTGTCTTGCAGCCAAATCAGTCAATTCCTAGAAACGCCCCAAGTGGGGCTATTTCTACTCCCCCAGCCCCACCCAAAGTAATACAACCCACCCTAGAGATGTTGTTGATTGGGATGCCGACAAGTCTCCCTGGGTGTGAGGAGATGATGGGAATAATGAGAAACACACCCAGACACAGTCATGGCTTGCACTGTCCATAAGGGAGAGAACTCTTTCTCAGATCTCTCCTTTCACAGCCCTTTGAATTTTGCATCCTAGAGTTTAGTACCATGTCTTATTATAGCAACCTAATAAATTTTGGGTTTAATGTGCATGGAAAGATGTTCCTGTGGTCCCTCCTCTTCTTAGAGCCCATGGCCTGAAACCCAGATGTTTGCTCTTTCCTTAGAAAATACTCAACAAATTCCAGAATGCCAAGAGTTATCTGTAAAGCAGACAGTGATTCTCTGTAGGCAAACAGCCACAATCACTACAATATTGGAAACTGAGAAAAAAACTTGAACAACAGTGGCACAAAAGGTTACCCCTTGATGATTACATTAGACACGTCCCTGTCTGTTTTGTCTTAGCACTACCTTTTGCACACCAAAGCATATAGCAGCAGAATTAAGGTCCATGCCTTTCATTATAACTTCCTCATTATCAGGACAAAATACTCAACACTCATAGCTTAAAGTAGGAGAAATTACTTTTGTCATGCAGTTTTAAAAGCTTATCAGTGTTTGGTAGGCCCAAATGCAGAAATGGCATGGTACAAAGTCCTGCCATGTGGAAAGCCACTCACATTATGGTGGCCAAGAAGAAAGAAACCAGAGAGGAGAATGGACCTTTTCAGGTCACACCCCCAGCAACCCACCCTTCCAGCAAGGCCCCACTGCTTAACAGCACATTTTATTGTGGATTCATCAGTGCACCCATGAGTATAGTGCTGCCATGATTCAATCACTTTCTTGAAGCCCCACTTCTGAACACATGGGTCTTGTGGAAGGCATTCCACACCCAGATCATAACAATATCAATCTATGTTGATTGATCATGCCCTTGGAGCATTTGACATTCTGAATGGTTTTGCTTCGGAGTGCTATAAATATATTTCCATGACCATGGCATAAACAAAGGATATGTTAAGTAAGTCAGGTCTTGGATTCTGAGCACTGGGACCCATCTCAGCTACTTTCCTTTCAATTTCTGTTTCTTTGTACTCTTTTTAGTTTGTGTTTCCAATGGAAAGACCTATTCTCATGGCGAGTCCTGGCACCCAAACCTCAGGGCATTTGGCATTGTGGAGTGTGTGCTATGCACTTGTAACGTCACCAAGCAAGAGTGTAAAAAAATCCACTGCCCCAGTCGATACCCCTGCAAGTATCCTCAAAAAATAGATGGAAAATGCTGCAAGGTGTGTCCAGGTAAAAAAGCAAAAGGTGCGTTGGTTGGAGGCCCTGCTTTTGGTTGACTGAGAGTCATATGTGGTCGTTTTCATCTTTCTTTGGACATTACAAATACAACCTACCTGTCATCTAATTGTAATTGTCATAGTTCTACTAAAGATAAATTTAATTTACTCTTCTCTTGAGGGAATGATAAATGGTTCATAGAAAAAAATATATTATTCAGAAATATACTGGGGAAAGTGCCAACCAGATAGCTCAGCAGGTTAAAGGGCCTGCCTAGGCAGGTGCAGTGACCGGAATTTAAGCCCTTGAATACAGTGGTGGCCCCACTCCCAGGGCATGCTGAGAAGGCTATTGAGACTGGGAGGAATGGTGCAGGCCTGTAATCCCAGCTGTTGGGAGGCTGAAAACAGAAGAATCACTACAAGTCTGATCTACATAGTGAGACCCTACAGACCCTGTACTAAATACATACAAAAAAGAAATATAATGGGGATTTCCTTCTGTACAGGACATTCTTATGTAGTTTTAAGTGCTGACCTTATCCTTACTCCAGTAGAAAGTTTAGACTGTCGTAATTATTAGAATTAGTAGCACCTTTCATTTATCACTTTAACCAATGCATAGTCACAGCCTTTAGAGATGATAAGAGACAGGTGAGATGTGTTGGGAAACAGGCTCTGGTTCAAATCTAAGTATTTGCATGACCTTGAAAATATGTCATTATACATTTTGGATATCATTAGTTGCATGTGAAATGGTTAGAATAGTTAGTCTCTAAGCAGATATTTTGCTTTACTATTGCATTTTCTCTTTTTACATTTTGAGACATAATATTTGAATCCACAGCGGGGTGTAATAACTTGATACATATGTAGAATACATAGTGATCAAATAAATCAGTGTAGTTATTTCCATTTCCTCAAATGTTTTTTTATTTTTGTGTTGGAAACACTTGGAATTGTATAGTTACTTGAAACAAATCATAAATTTTTGTCAATTATAGTTATCATACTGTATTATAGAGCAACAGAATCAATCCTTCTTATGGAACTTCATTTGGTATGTGTTATCAGACCTCTGTCTATCTCCCCTGGACCCATCTTACAACACTGAAATCCTATAATTATTTTTGCTCTGTATCTTTCAAAGGTAAGAAACACAGGTATATAAAATGACTTGCCCAGAGTGGTAAAACAAATTGATAATAAAACAGGAATAGAACTCAGGTCACTTCCATCTCATTGCTTTTCTAATGGAAAAGTTTCACTAGTTTTTGTTTTTCTTTTAAAAGGCAAACTACTTTTAAGTGGTGGTTTTGAGATGTGAGTTACATAAAAAGAGTCCGGGGCCAGCCAGATAGCTCAGCAGACTAAAGTGCCTACTTAGGCAGACTCAGGGACCGGGCTTAGATCCCTGATGTGCTGTGTTGGCTCTGTCCCCAGAGCTTGCTGAGACGGTGACTGAGACTGGGTGTGGTGGTGCCCACCTATAATCCCAGAGCTTGGGAGGCTGAAAAAAGGAGGATCACTTGGAGTCTGATCTGTTTAGTGTGACCCTGTAGACTCAGTACTAAATACATAAAAATTAATAAATAAATACAAAAGACAGTCTGTAATAATGGAAAAGACAAATATTATGGGTAATCAAGTATTCTAATGCTGACTTGCCACCGATTTCCTGCATAATCTAGATTAAGTAAATTTAGCTCTGTGAGGCCAAATTTCCTTTTCAGTAAAATTGGAGGGTTAGAGCAGATGGTTGCCTAGACACTTTCCAGTTCCACTGTTCTATAATCAATAATTCCCAGGCACATATATTCATTATTTTATGCCTTCCACAAAAAAAGATAGATAGATAGATAAAGATGAAATCTTAAACATTTTTAATATGAACAGAGAGCTAAATCATTTATTCTTTCAATTTTAGAAATCTATAATGAGTAAAAGGCAAATATACATAAGTCAGTATATATTTACTGAACATTTTCATGTGGACCAGTTGTTTTCAAGTTTTTCTGTACACTGGAATCCCCAGAGAGTTTCTAAAAACACCTGTGTCTCATCCCTGGAGATTCTGATGATCAATTTACTTGAAATGTGGCCTGGGTTTTGGAATTTTTAAGATTCCCTGGCTACATTAATGTTTACAAAACTTTGAGAATCACTGCTGTAGATCAATGTCCGTTTACGGTCATGCTGATCAAGTTGAAGTTCTTGGATCAGCAGCCTCTGGGACCTATTACAAATGCTGATTCTTAGAGCTCCCATGCTAGATCTACTGGATCAGAAGCTGCCCTTTTTAAAAAATCTCCAGGTGATTCTAATGTATAGTACATACATTAAAGTTTTATGAGCACAGATTAAGGCATAAACAAAATCTTCCACAGTATATTAAGCCCTGTCTTATAAAGTAGATCTGACAGGATATGGACAAGAAGCACAAGATCTAGTTAATATAGGGTAGAAGTGAGACATTAAATTCACATGGAAATGTACTTCTTTTGTGTGTGTGTGTGTGTGTGTGTGTGTGTGTGTGTTTCCCCATCTTTTCCCCCATAATTTTATTGAGAAACAAAGAGCAATGAGACAGTTTCAAACCAAATTGGTAGGGCAGTTTCAATAATTAACACATTGCATACATTCTTCCTAGTGGTTATTTGCTGTACAAGATGCAAACATGATATCCTATTTAAAAACACTATTAGAACAAATCACTCTATTCATTAAGAGAATCTAACTATAAATCTATCCTAACCACTTTGAATACACAGATACAAAATGGACATTCATCTGTATCCCCTTTTTTTGTTAAGTTCCGTTATTTGAATATTATAGGTGTGTTAACTCAGCAAAATATTCTAAAAGAGTCCAGTAGTCCATAATAGGATTGGGTCTTCCGCTTGACTGGCAGTGTCTGAAATTGTTTACCTGAGTCCCCTACAGCTCAACATAACAGCATGGCTTTACTTCTTATACTTTGTTTTTATACTTTTCTGCTGAATGGTTAAGACCAAGATAAAGCAAGACCTATGCAACAAGAATTGTAGCTTTTGGGCCTGATAAGGTCAGTGAAATCCCCTTAGGATTTATCCTGAGATCTACCTCAGATTGTAGAACCTTTGTCAGTGTCACCCATGCGGATGAATCACGGCCATTGCTTGGCCAACGTGCTCTCTGTGAAAGCAGAAATGTACTTCTTAATGGTAGGAAGCAAGTGAATTATAAGGATGCTATTGGTAATGGGGCCAGCTAAACATGGTGACCTATTAAGACTTCTCACTATGATCTCACTGGATCCCCAAATCCTTTAATGTCACATAATTGTGGTTCCACCAACAGTTTTCTCTTCTGTCAGTGGTCTCACATTTGTAGTTTAAAAACATAATTTTAGACAAAAGCAAATGATTACCTAAAACACACAATGTAAGAAAAATTCCATCACTACCTAATATTCCAATTTCAAACTTAGTCCTTCAGACCAGATCATGTTTCACTTGGTGCTTAAGATTTCATTGAGGAAAATGATTCAAGTGAAATGAGAAAATAGGACACATGATATGCTTTCCCTATTAGATAACTTCTTTCTGAAATTGTTAATATTCATTAAAACCTTCGGGGAGCCAGGGAGATGGCTCAGTGGAATAAGTGCCTCCCTGGCAAGCACAGGGACCTGAGTTCAATCCCTGGTTCTGGAAAAAAGTCTTTTGAATAAACAATCTTACTCCCAGATATCCTAAGAAGGTAATCAAAGATATACACAAAGATAGTCATAAAAGGACTTTTGCTGCAGTACTGCGTAAGTAGTGAAAAAAAATTGCAAAAAACCTGGTGTGTTTAAAACAATTTTATAAGTCCACCAATATGAGAATGGTTAAATTATGGTATATAGTTATATTGCAGAGTATCATATAGCTATTCATACTAATTATGAATTAAGATTTGGTGGCATGGGAAAACATTATATTAAGTACAAAAATCAACCTGAGAAAATATATTTAGTGTGATCACACTTTTGTGTTAAAAAGGAAAGTATACATAGGCATTCATAAGCATATATATGCTTAGATTTTTTAAGAAAAAACTGGAGGAGCATGTGCAAGAAGGTTTATAGTGACTACATTTGGATAACTAAATTATGATAATTCTTATTTTCCTCTCTTTTATTTTTAATTCTTAAATTTCATTAGTAAACATGTATTACTTTCATAATTAGAAAAAATGATGTTATTATTTTGAAAATATCATCAAGAACCCCAATTGGCAATATATGAACATCTGATTGGCTATACCAGTTTCTCTGGATGATCTGTTTTTCTTGTTTGCCACCTTCTTCAGATGTGTGGAAGTAGAAAATTTATTGGACAACATAGAAGGTGAGAGTTTCTGTCCCATTTTGTGTATTATGAGTCATTAAGGCTCCCTTCAGGAATGGTTTCTCAACTTAGTTCTGGAGGACAGAGCATTATCATGGGAAGCATGAATAGTTGTAAGCAATTTAAAGTGTAGCATGCTTCTCTGGCCAGGAATGAGAATAGCTAAGCATCAAGAGATCAGAAAGCACCTTAACTTAGAAAGTGTGCAAAGTGGAATATGTTGGTGCATAAGCATTGCTAAAGACAAACTTTCCTTCTTTCATTTTTTTAAAGTATCATCCAGGGTTGAGTCACAAATTGGTTTCATTGTTTATAGATCGATCCATTTGGTCTCATAAGTTCAACTCTTTTGGAGGAAGGGGTGGTGGTGCGGAATGATTCTTCTAAGATACTTGGAGCATATTACAGTCACTTCCAGTGCCATGCTAGATTGCAAGTGTCCGTTATACCTATTGCCAATATTAAGCTGCTGAGTACATATTCCACAAATGAACTCTGCTGTCATTCTAAAGGTGATAATTGAGCACACAGAAGTCACTGTGTACTCCATAACCTCTTCCACCCACTTGAAACATGCTAACACACATCTCTTGATTGTATAACATCACCAAGAATACTGGACTGCCAAAGTAATTAAACAGCTGAAAACAAAAAGACAAATGGAGAAAGGACTTATGGTCTTAAAATAATCTACAAATTGAGTAGTCCAACTTGGAGTTGTCAAGAGAAAAGGATGATTTGGTCCTTATCATACCAAGTGTTGTTGGGGTTGGGAAAGTTGATCAGGCCAGCAAGACACACACACAGTAGCAACTTGATCACAACTTCTAGTCCAAAAGTGTCTGATTGGCTGACAGTGAGTCTCCTTAATCAGTCACCCATCCAAAGTACTGAACACTCAATGGTTTCATCCTTAACAATTTAAATATTCTTAGGTAGAGAAAACTTAACTCACTGATAACCAATTAAGAAAAACTTTTTTGATAGGAGGTCAGGGAAAGGGAAATGGAGAGTAGAATGGGGAATTTTAGGGAACAGGGAGCTGACATTCATCAGTTTAGTTTCCATATTAGATGATCTATAGTTGATGGATTTGACCAATTTTTTTTGTCTCCCAACCGTTCATTTGGCATGGAATACAAATGACTAATCTGACATCTATGTTTTGGCATTGGGCTGATCTGGTATTATTCTTCTTACAAACAAATCAAAGCACATTTAGAAATGTCAAGTCAATTTGGATAGATCCATTGGGCAAGTATATGCACATAAATGAGTGTTGTTAATGTTTTCTAAGTATAACACAAATAATGTCATGGAAGTTAACCAAGGCCTTCTGTCAGCCCATTTCCTGGGCCTCTCTTCTCAACACTGCGCTGGACAGAGCGTGATCCTGACCCAATGTGGAAAAGTCTATGCCCTTAAGTGCTTTAAGGATTTATAACTGGATACATTGTTCCTCCTCATGTATGTTCACTTATTAGTGACTGTACTAAACAGATACAGTTTTATTTTGGGGCCATTATTCTATACAACTGTGAATTCTATCTTCAGATGGACTTCAAAGTGTATATGCTTCTTTGTGATTAGGTGGCTAGTGACTGGGGCAGAGTATACTGAGGAAATAAAATAAAGATGGGATCTCTATGTTCCTAAGAATATTCTTACTAACTGGTCATTTTCTATCATTAAATGTAAGGTTGTACAGATAATGATATAGTTAAATGTAGAAATTCATTTCTAGCTTTGGAAAACCATGACCAAACCATACTTGCTTCCTCATTCCAGAAGAACTTCCAGGCCAGACCTTTGATAGCAAAGGCTACTTTTGTGGAGAAGAAACAATGCCTGTGTATGAGTCTGTATTCATGGAGGATGGGGAGACTACCAGAAAAATAGCACTAGAGACTGAGAGGCCACCTCAGGTAGAGGTCCATGTTTGGACCATTCGAAAAGGTAAACAACCTAACTTTAATTTCTTATCCTTGTAAAGGGAGGGCAGAAAAGAAGGGAAGACTTTCCTGTACATAGTTTCATTATATTACTGTGTTTGGGTTGGAAGTTTTCTTGATTTCTTAGAAACTGACATTTTTAACACAGCTGTTATTATGACCTTTCAGATTTAACTGTGGTGTGTGCTAAAGATTAAATAGTAACCCTTGTGTTTTCCAAGGTTGTCTTTCTCATGCCACCAAAAGATAGAGGAGTAGTTCTTAGTCCTAGCTGCATGTCAGAATCATCTGGGCAAGTCTGATTTATTTTGTTTTGTTTTGTTTTTAGTACCAAATACCTGGGCCTTACCTCCAGAGTCCGATTAGTTAATCTGGGTAGAGCTTTGGCATCAATGTTTTTTCTTAAAAGCTCTAAATAGATTTTAAAAGAGTTGCAAACTACCAAACTATATTCTACCTTTCTAATATGAAGCTCTACAAACTGGACAACCCATTCATTCAGTGTAAAGCTAAGGCCCTCAAATTGTGCTATGTACTTTAGGATAAGACAAATTGAAAACATCATCATTGTCCTCAAGAACATTATAACCTCACTGGAAAAATAGTTCCAATCATGATGAGCAATTCCCTTTCTGATGACTCACAATGACTATAACAAACTGCATTTTGTTCACTGTGACCCTATAACTCTTTACAGTGTTCATATGCACAAGATTAATGTTTACCTCCTTCATTGTGCCCACAGAAGGCTGTAAATCATTCAAGCTTTAGTGGGTTTCAGTATCATGAACAGAGCTGTTTTAATATGTAGTTATATATTTCTATCCAAGAGATACAAATTCAACAAGCTTTGGTAATGTCTAAATATTTACATGCTTAAAAATAACTTGTCAATTCTGTATGCAAGTGGCACTCACATCATACTTTCTGAAATACTTCTCTTGTATTTATATTTCTTCTCCCTTTTGACAATAACACTTCCTGTAAAGAATATGTTCTTCTCCCATCTTAAAAAATGCTATACTGTATTTATGATTTTTCCTATGTTTATTTTGGCTTTATAGGTAAGCATTCCCATTTTCCACCTTTATAGCTCCATAGCACACCCATAACTGGATACCTAGGACAACCCCCCCTTATTGCTGCTCCTTAGACAAGCCAAAGGTAAATCAGCTAGCAAAGGAAAAAAGTGGAGATCATAATGCCCTACACATCCAAGTTCTCAGTTAAGCATCTTATGCACATTAACAGCCTAGCTCAGTATTCTTAGTCCCAATAATGAAACAATAAGTTCAGCCCAGGGAGCAAAAGGTACTGGCAGTTACAGAAAGATAGTGCCTGATCACCTGCCCCACTTTTTGCTTGACCCCAGGCATCCTCCAGCACTTTCACATTGAAAAGATCTCTAAGAGACTGTTTGAGGAGCTCCATCACTTTAAGCTGGTGACCAGGACAACCCTGAGTAAGTGGTACCTTTTTTTACCCATCACTGGAAACATTCAGCTTTTCAGTGTTCCATTGTCACAACTGAAGTCCTTCTATGTTCTTAGTGAGCAGTAAAAGTACTGAATATCAGCATTAGAGAATATTCTGGTTTTCCTCTGGGGGATCTGGCAACAAATTCGATGTCTGAATGTGAACTGAAAAGCTTGGACATGATTGATACAAACCCAAATGTGGGGTCAGCATAAGATACTCAGTTTGAGGATTTCTGAATGTCTTTAATGGAATTGCTAAACCTAGAGTCTGAAGAGAGTTGAAAAAGGCTTAATACAAAACTTTAAATCTGGTATAGTAGTTGAGACTTCACATCTAGAAGGCTATGTTCTCTGGTGGTGAGGATAAGAAAGTAAGAAAAGAATGAATGAATATAAATTCCTGTGCTATATCAAAGTTTTTTTTGACTCATTTAGAACTACCCCTGTGTGGTCTTATTCCTTTAAAAGCCCAGACATTCAAACAAACTAGCAACTCTCATACATTCTACACTAGATGGAGCCTAGGGACTAGATACTGCTAGGCACCAGGAGTGGACAAGAGCACTTGTAATGAAATAAAAGGCACACAGTTTTTATCCACAGGGAAATATAAAAGGCAAGATAGAATATGAAAATACTTTAAGTATGAATTGATAGAGTCCTGATGAGTTAAATACTTTCCATGCTCAGGGGACTCTGCAAAGAACAATGAGATGAGAGCTAGGTGGCCTTAGTTGGGAAGGCTTCAGGGAGGAGGTGTGTTTTGAAACAGAAGGGTGTGACTGGGCTAATGGTCCAAAAGTCAGTCCAGGAAGAGGGTGCAGCCTAAGTAAAAATTCAGACAGTACCAAACAAGAAATGTGAGTAGGGTTGAGGAATGATCACAAGAGCCACAGTAGGGACCACTGGAAGAGGAGAAGAGTTGGGAGGAAGGAGTCAGAGGGCCCAGAAGGAACCAGTGAAAGTTGTACATGCAAAGTAAGCAACACTGGGAGTTTCTGTGAAACGACAAAGAGACTACTAGAATCTAAACAGTGCTTTAGAAAGACATCTCTGGTCTTTCAGATAGATTTATTAAGCACCTACATTAAGCACCTACTTTTTTAAACCAGATTTAAAGAGTCCAGTTTGCTATACTAAGAAGTTGGATTTGATCTCCAGGTCAGAGAACAGCAGCTGAGTTTTTTAATGGATGGTACATTTAGATCTGTTTTTAGAAAAACATGCTTGCTGTGAGGAGAAGTATATTACAGATGAAAGAGCTGACAATAGACTGAATTGAGAAGCTATTATACTATGTTAAGCAATGAGATGGTGAGAAAAGGTCACTAAGAAGGACATTTCTCAGGTTGCATGAACAAAATTGGTGTCAAAGAGAGAGAAGAGTTTGGAGTGACTCCAATATTAATAACTTCATAGGCTGAGTGAATAGTAATGCCATTCTCCAATGGGAAACTCTGAAGAAGTATTGGTGAAATGTTTCATTGAAATACTTGGATTACCATATTTATAGTCCATCTAAAAAGAATTGTCCAATAGGCAACTGGAAATGGAGATAGTGAGGTAAATTTGTTTTTCTTGCAGGACTAATAGCAAGTAAAATGAGTAGTGTGAGTATTCAAATGAAGGTGTTGGAAGTAAGGAATAAGGGAGGTACAGTCCAGGATCTCATGTTCAAAAATATGACTTCTGAAATTACCCTTTAATTTTCAAGAATATATTTCAGTTGATAGTGTGAGCAAGGCACTACGCTATGTTATAGAGGACTTGAGAGATGATTTAAACATACTCTTTGCCCACTAGCCGTTAGGGCTTGAGGTACACAATGGAAGAAGAAGGGCAATGCCTTAAACTGCACATCTGGAGGAAGTGATGTCTGTGAGAAGTGATCTCACAGATGAAGCCATGAAGACAGGACCAGTTCCTTCATGTAGTGTGCCTAGCAGAGTCTGGCACATCTCAGGGCTTCAGTAAAAGCTAGTTCCTTGCCCAGCTCTTTTCCTTTTTCCCTTTACCTTCTCATTATACCAGACAGAACTGGAAAAATGAGGAATCTAAGGGAGAAAGGAGCAGAGATCCAGTTTCAAAGGGAGGGAATCATGTTTCCATGTAGCTAGGGAAAGCAAACCAGTTCAGACTGCATTTGGAGTTAAGAGGCATTTACTGACCTTGGAACAGGAGTTCTCCACTTGTATTTGAAATCCTCTGGTGGTTAGATGAGTAAGTAGGTGGGTGAGGTGAAGTGGGAGGTTCCATTGACTCTACTTTCCTCTTAAACTTTCCTCCCCTTTTGTGTTTGGCTTTAGGTCAGTGGAAGATATTCACTGAAGGAGAAGCTCAAATCAGCCAGATGTGTTCAAGTCGTGTGTGCAGAACAGAGCTTGAAGATTTGGTCAAAGTTTTGTACCTAGATAGATCTGAGAAGGGTCAATGTTAGGCAAGTCAGGCAGTATTAGATAGGGTCAAGCAAGAAAATTCAAGCTGCAGCTGGACTGCCAGCTTATTTTGCTTAAGTCAACAGTACCCTACAACTCCAACTCAAATGGAGTCAGTTATTCACGCCATGCATACCATAACTTGCTCCTTTATGTGGAGTGGTGTGTCAGCCCTTAGCTATTTCCTCTAAAGACACTAGCAGAGTATTGAATGATTTGTGGTGTGTATGAGGAGGAATAGAACACCACAGAACAGCTCTAGTTTCTTGAAGAATCACATTTCTCCACATGCTAAAGAACAAATGAAATTGCAGGGTTTCTATCTAAAACATTATTCAAATGAAAGAAAGAGAAAAAATTGTTTAGTAGGAGTTCTGGAGAATACAGCAATTATTTGTATGAAATGATACTCTGAATGTTAGAAAGTCTTCTGTTCTTTAAAAGAAACTCAATTGGCCATCTTCCCATATGCACATGTGCTCACATGCATGCACACAAGTGCACGTGCACACACACACACACACACACACACACACACACACACACATGAAACTACAGTCTCTGCATTGAGGCAAAGCCAGCCTAGACTCTGCCTCTCTCTGCCTGAAAAACCTTGGAGGTGACTGGTGCCTAAGAGGATAAATAAAGCCTTTTAAGCAAAAGGCTCTATACTTAGACCTTGGAGGTAGCTGTAGAACTCGGTAACTATAGTGGCACCATTTCTGGTCTCAATCACTTTAAGGTGATAAATAACTTTTCCCTACAGATAGGCCCCCTTTTTTACCCTCAACCTATGATGCCTCCAAAAATAAGTTAGAATTGGTTAATGTTATCAGAAGTTGAATCAATATAAACAAAGTAGCTGTTGAAGAAAAACTGATAAAAGTTAAAGAGACCATCTTACTATTTATGCAGCAATAACTTTTACCAGTTAGTAGATCAATATTCAATAATTTTTTGAGATTATACTTGTATAGCCAGAAAATTTAGGCTGAATTATTAAATTCTAGAAGCCTCTTAGAAGGGTAGTTCTCCTTCTTCCAGATTTGATTTTTTTTAAAGAGAGTACAAATTAGAATTAAAACAAAAAATTATAATCAAGACAGAATTTCACTTACCAAACTAATATGAAATTCACAGTATTTGTTATAGTACATAGTGTTTTCTTCTAACCAGTTATTCATACTGTGCAAAGAGGATTGATCTTCCCAAGCTTCTGAATGTTGGTTCTTCAGTTAAGTGTTGCTCTTCATTTAAGGAGCTGGAAATTCTGATAAAGCCCTCTATGCGAAACATTTTTATCAGAAAATTCTGCTAAAGCCCTCTATGCTCATTCATCTTATACAACAAGCATGAATTTCATTTGGGGATTCTAGAAAAGACTGTTCATAAAGTGTCTATATGCAACCTAATATTAGAGCATAAATTATCAATTGTGAGGTCTGGCTTTAGATATTTTTGTGGGAAAACTAAATTTTCCAAAAAAGGGATCTCAAGTGTGCCTCTGAATCTGTCTTCTCTGAGGGTCATGAATGATTTCTAATGAGTATTAAAAAAGTATTAAGGGCTCAGAAATCCCATATTTCCCACTCTATGATGATAGGTGAGAGAACATGTTTTCCTTTAATGTAAGGTAAAAAGTCCAGTGTTACCTGCAATCTGCCATGAAAGAGTCTGTTTCTGTGAAAGAACACATGGGCCTTATGGCCAGGAGTTCATGAGACAATCCTTTCACCAGCCCACCACATAAATTCTCCTCAAGACAAGGAGAACAAGGAGGCAGGACATGTGGACAGAAAGCCACAGAGCATTACTGGAGGGCACATGGTGCTTAAGAGCTGCTGCCTTCCTTTAATATGGCAGTCATTTCCGTAGTGTAGACCAGGACCTGGCTCCTGAAGCAAAGTGACGATTCCACTTCTAGATGCTTCACCACAAAGCCTTCTCATCCAAGTGTTCTCTAAATGCTCAGCTTTCAGAGAACACCCAGAGAGCTTCCCCACATAGATGCCTGACTCCTGGAGCTGGGACACACCTTTCCAATGTGTTGTGGGAAGCAGGGCCTGGTGAGCTATGTCAATGAATGTAGAAAAATTCCAGTGTTTGATGTTGTGTAGGGAGTAGGTCTTAGGAAAAAGGCCAAGCCACCTGTAGTTAATCGAGAAGAATGAATGTGGTTCTTGTGTATTTATTTGTATCATAAACACTTGGAACAACAAAGACCATAAGCACCATTTCACAGTCATAACCTTTTCCTAGTTAACTCATGTAAACAAGTAAGAATTATATGACAATACTACCCCTTCACTCTTCTCATAGGACATGTACCTAAACATGGTACTTATTTATGTAATCACTGTATTTCTGGATTTCTAAATTAATAAAAATATTAATTTTGAAAAAGCATTCACAGGCAAGTGGCATCATTACTGACGGTGAACTCCATAGCAGGTGATGGGGTGGGCCTGGTTCTTTCACACAGCTTGACACCCTTCTCATTCTGTAGTGTGGTGGTTACAGTGTCATCTCTGCAGTCAGACTGCAGGGATTTAAACTTGTCAATTAGTACATGTTCTCCATATATAGTGATTACATTCATCATGGGAAATTGATACATGTACATATCACATTTTAAGGTTTTTTTCCTCCCCTTCTCCTGTCCCTCCCCATCTTGGTCACTTTCCCTTTTGCAAAGATTTGTCTCCCTTTTTCCTATTGTCTTTTATTTTTCTCTTTAGTTTATGTGGGTTGTTCATATAAAGAAACCATGCAATAGTTAATCATGTGTGTCTGATTTATTTCATTTAACATTATGGTCTTAAGGTGCATCAATTTTCCTACAAATGACTCCAATTTATCCTTCTGTATGGCAGAGTCTATATGTCCAGTGCCACATTTTCTTTATCCACTCATGTGCTGATGGACTTATAGGCTGCTTCCAAGGTTTAGCTATTATGAACTGTGCTTCTATAAACATGGGTACACGTGTTTCCTGGACAGCTCTAAATTTAACCAGCTGTGCTTGTCACCCTGCCCAACCATGAAATTGGATAATAGGGATGCTCATACCCTTTGACTGCTATCTTTCAGTGAGGTTTATTTTAATTAACACATGTTAGGTGATTAGAATGTTGTGTAGTACATAGTAAACATTCATTAATGAACATAGATATTCAAGACTGCCATGGCATGAAAATTGAGCATTGGCTTCTAAACTCCCTCTGGGCTATTGATATAGATTTCAAGGGGACCTGCTACTCCAGTGTTCTATAAAAATTTACAGGGAGCAGGGTAAGAGCTTTGTCACATTTTGATCCAAAATAAAATCCCTCAGACCTCCAATAAAAGCTGAATGTATGTTAGCACAGAAGTCAAATTGTGTAAGTGCTTCAAGATTCATGTGTCAAAGACTTCTGAGATGCCAGATAATCTTAGGACAGGAAAGTGAACATTTGGATTGGAGGCATGAAAGAAGACAAGTATTGCTAGGGTGACTGAAGCAGAGGCTTATTGGAGTGGATCATAAGAAGTGAGTGGGGAGATGAGGAATGATCTCTATGATCTCAAGACAACTTTAGAGAAGCTGCAATGCAAAAGATAGGGAATCACATTGAAGGAAGTAGCTGGGAAAGAAAGAAAGCCAAAGAAAATCACTTTGTTAAAAAAAAAAAAGAAAAATCATTTTGTTGTAAATATGAGACTATTTACCCAGGAGGACAGATAGTATAGAAAAAAATAATAGAACCTCAAGAGAGTGGGAAGCAAAAGGTAATCAGCCTGTTGTGTGAGGCTCACAATTTCAACACATACTCTAGATGGAATATGAGTGTTTGTACTCCAACCCCTTTTGTTAAACTGCATGTTATTCCACTGATCTGTGCTGGCTTCGTCCTCCTTTATCCTTTGCTTATTTTCTTCAGTAACAATTGCCTGTAGATCCCAATATTGCCCAAAGTTCACTGAGGGAACTGCACATAACTCAAACTAGACATCTTCCCTCCATTTTTACTCTTCCCTTTCCCTAATCAGGCCCCTTTCAGATTTCACCCATTCCTGCCAACTTGATCTCAGTATAGGGGATACTTACATGTCTTTTCTCTTAACTTCTCATATCACATTCACTTTTCCACATAGTACTCACATGCCCACACCATGATTCTCAGGAAGCACCAAAGAACATCTCTTTACTACCACAATTTCCACCTTTTTATTCCTTTCTTGCTTTTACTCTTTTTTATCTATTTGGTACACAGTCTCACTACATAGCTCAGACTTTTAATGATTGATCCTCCTGTTTTTAACCTCCCCAGTGCTGGGATTACAGGCATGCACCAGCATGCCTGGGCTCAGGTGCCAGCTCAGCATGCCCTGGGGTTCAGGGCCAGTGCTGAATGAGGGATCAGGGATCAAACCCTGGTTCTTGTGCTTGCCAAAGCAGGAGCTTAGTCCATTGAACTATCTCACTGGCCCTCTTGCCTTTACTCTTGAAAGTGTTCACAATATGAAACATAAAAATGTCCCACTTGGCCATATGGGCTATTTCAAGCTAAATGTAGTTGAGATTAGATAGCCACAGTAAGAGTTCTCTGGCCTACTCTTATCTTAGGCAGCTAGAAGTAGGGCATAAATTACTCTGAGTACCATTTCTTCTCCCCTATACCAAGGATAGAAGAGAGACTAATCACTGAAGATAGAAAGTCAACAAGATAAGATTGTATACACACAACTAACCAAGCTAGCCTTTGTCATTCGTTAGTTACCCCATTTGAATTATGTTTCCTGTTCACTTCCACACAATTTGTCATCATCTGAAGCCCAAACACTGTCCTATATTAGAAGTTTTATCTATTACAAACTCCAAAGAGTAACTTTGGAGCATTTTTCATTTTTACTTCCTTTCTGTAAACTTTTGTGCATGAAAATATTAACAAAACTATGTATTTTCCTCTGATAATCTTGTTTTGTTACTTTAATGGGCACACAGTCTCTTAATAGTTTTTGCTGCCCAACACTTACCTCTATTATAGACACTGCTAGAAAAAATGTTCCCCCACTCTATACCTCTAACAGTCACCACTGCTGCCAGTTGTACAATTAATGTGGCCTTTTTGTTCTGGCCTACAGGTGCTACAGCATTAGTGATGCTAAGATTCCTCTGGTATGTTTTTAATGCTTTGATCTTTTCATTCCCAGTGGCACCGTTTGCTGTGCACAAGGTGAGATGGTGGCCTCCTCTCTACCTGTGTTTGAAATTATTTTGTCACCTTACATTAAAGCAGCCAACAATTACTTTATTTTTTACTTTTTGATTTTGTAGTACTAGGAATTGAATCCAGGACCTTCACACTACACCATAGCCTGAATAGTTTTTAGAAACTAGGTCTTGCCAAGTTGATAAGTTGTCCAGGCTGGGCTGAAACTTACCACCCTCCTGCCACATCCTTGCAGAGTTCTGTGATAACAGGTCTCTGCCTAGCCAAGAAATAATACTTGAATGTGTATTACACCCTCTGCCTAGCCAAGAAATAATACTTGAGTGTGTATTACATGTACCAATGGAGGATCTTCTTATACCTTAGCATCTCATAATTGATTCATGTAATGAAACCCTTCGGGTTCCATTTTCAGCCCTTTTTTAGGGTTCAAATGCCAGTATGTAGTCTGTATTGAGGACAAGCTTCCAAGATAGTTATATAATTGTCCTCCAGATTCCTTTCCATTGAGCATACAGACATACTACTCCACTTTCAACTGAAATCTTCATTCAAATTGACCTCAAAGATCCCACACCATTAGACTATGAAACATATTTGAAACCTCCAAATGAAGAAGCAGAATCTGGAGATTAGGAATCCAGCTATAGCATACGGTCCCCTGAATATTTTTCATACACACATACATTTGTGTGCCTTTGTATATGTTCTTCCTACCATTAGCTTGTTCTTCTCTCTTTTTTGACTAGAAAAGACCTATCCATCCTCATAGACCCAGCCCAAACATCACCAAAACTATAAAGTATCACCTGTTCTCTATGAGTTTTCCCTTTCTTCCACCAATGATACAATTCTTCATGTTTTTGGAACTTACCATGTTCTTCTATATCATTTGCACACATTCT